CACAGACACAGAAACAGACACATGCTATATTCTATACCGACACAGTACACCACAGCAGGCCAGCATACATACCGGTACACCACACACACACAGCCACAGCTTCTGACATGTTTGCGGTGACAAAAAGAGAGTTGCAGACAACCAAGTAAGTGCCTGGCAGGCTGGGGGAGGCAAATACGCGTCCATGAACGAGGACATACATGATAGGCAGGCGAATTAAACAACGGGGCTCCAACATGCCCGGTTTTAATATTAGACATCACTCCGACGAGATCTGCGGGACGCGAAATGCCACCTTCTCATCATCCCTGCTAGCCTGCTCTCTGATGCGCCTCTGCAGCCGTCAAAGGCCATCGTTTGAACTGCCCTTCGCTCTCCTCCCCCCTCTCCCAACAGCGCGTCGGTGAGGGCTGAAAAATCGTGGACTGTCCAAGCCATCTGAATCTCTGTCGGTCGCTACTGTGAACCCTTTTGCCCTGTCCTGTTGCATCTCGTTTTCGCAGCCCGCTCCCCCCTCCCCCAACCCTTCGCCCTCCCCAATCCGCCCGTGTCCGACCGGTGTGGGAGGAGAGAGGTGACGTCTTTGGCCTGCTAGAGCCCCAGCCTTTGAGCCTGCGCTAGGAGCATTCACAGCCTGCGCTTCAACGGCCCGCCTACTCTAGTAGAGCAACCGTCTTGGACCAACGCCCAAGGTAGCTGTATTCTACCAGCTGGACTTGCTCTCAACCCTTCCTTCTTCTCCCCTCTCTTTCCAGGAACGCTATGAGCCGGTAAAGGACACCGGGCATAGACCAAAAGTCGGCTTCTGGGGCATACGCAATCTGCTTCGCCTTCTCTTCCGTATCCGTCCATTGACTCTCCTCCCGTCATAGAGGCACATCCTCGACATGCCTGTCGCCGTTGCTGCAGCCCCACGCGGTCAATTCTCCCTGGCAAATGCCATTCGCGGTCGCAATCGAGCAGTGTCTGAAGTTGGCCTGCCGCCCCCACGCGAACCTGAACGCGCCCAGCTGCCCAAGGCGGCCTCGTACACGTACTTCCCCCGTGTCAAGGACATTGACACCGACACCACAGACCTGAATGGGGAGGACAATGACAACAAGACGGGCCATGGCGAACGCACGTCGGAGAGTTCCTCGGGCGGATCGAGTCCGTCGTCAGAAGAGGCTCCAGAAGAGGCTCCAGAAGCAGCCGCTGTGCAGATGCGGCCCAGCCTGAAGCCCACGGTGCAGCGCAAGTCATCGCGCTTCCGCCCCTTTTCCAGCAAGAGCAGAGATGCCTCCGCGGAACCCATGCCCGACCGCGGGCGCACCGAGATGGCTAAGCAGCAGGCCGAAGCGCCCACAGGCTCGCCCGTCCGATCCCTGACCAAGCTGCGGAGGAAGTCGTGGGTCGTTTCGCAGCAGCCGCAGTCATCTTCGCCGACGAGGGGCAAGGCCGCACAGAAGAAGCACGACAGCAGCAGCAGTGGCAACACCAGTACCAACATCAGTACCAACACCAGCACCAGCACCAAAAACAGCACCACTAGCACCACCAGCGACGACGCCGACGCCAACAGGGACGCGGACAAGGCCACTGACAGCTCCCCGGCCACAGAAGCGCTCAAACGCCAGCGGCCAACCAACACCATCAGCATTCCGGAAGAGTCCGAGGTAAGGGACTCGTCCCCGCAAGACCTACAGCAGCCTGTGCCTCTTAGCAAGAAGAACAAACGGCTCAGCGGCCTCTTCAATGCAACCACAAGCTCGTCGCCCACCGTGCCCAAGTCTTTCTCCACCGAAAAGCTCCCTCACTACTCGCAGCCGCATACGCCCCTCAGCCCGACTAACGCTCCGCCGCTACCACGCAATATATCAGCCGAGAAGCTCAAGGGCGCAAAGACGGAGCCCCGCAAGAAGGATGAGCTCTGGACGGCGTTCCGGACGCTCGATGCAGACCTCCGCAAGTAAGAAGTCCATTCGTCCAGCACCATATCCTACATGCATAGCTAACACAGGACAAGGTTTCAGTCAAAATCTAGCGCCCTCAAAGCCAACGTCGTTCGAACCGCCCTGCTCCCTTTCCTGCGCCAATACGCCTCTCATCCCTCGAACCACAAGCTACGACCAGAAGACCTGGACCGACGAGCAAACATCTTGAACGGATGGTGGACAGGCCTGCTGGAACTTGTGGCAGGTCGTAATGGCCAGTCCATGTCAGGCACAGATCGTCCCGCCATACTCGAAGGCATCGTTGGCATCATGGAAAGATCCGAGTGGAGACTGTGGCCATCTCCGTATTGTGCCCTTGCAGACCGAGTAGCGACCCCTTCTACAACCACGAACACTTCCAGTGCCTCAAGCTCTTCCGACTTCCTCGCCGATTCTGTGTACCACAATGTTCGAAACATCTTCACACAAAACCTGCTTTCACAAATGGCCTTCGTGGTCGAGAAGATGTCTCTTAGAAATGCGGCTGCTAGTCTCGTAACCTTCTGCGGCAAGACATGCGCCTACGTCTTTTGCTTCTGTCCTGGAATCGCCGACACTCTCGTACGACTGTGGAACCCATCGTTAGATATGATGAAGCGCGTCTTGAAGGAATCGGGCGTGTCGAAACTCGACAAACTCGACGATCTATCCGAGTCTGTGGCAGCCGCTTTTCCACCCGGTCTCCACTCGCTCAAATTCTCCTCTCTCGCGAAAACGGTGCGCTTGCTACGGAAACCTGTCTCTCCCCCTTTGGCTGTGGCCAACCTTGACTGGTACGGACTTTGGACCAAGCGCTGGTCTGGAGCAGAGAGCGACCTCTTTTATGTTTTTGTCAAGCATTACCACATCCTCGTTACCGAATTCCTGCCCGTGGAGCCGAGCAACGCAGAGCGGATATGTGTGCCTGGATTGCTTATGGTTCACGCGCAAATTCTCGTAAATCTAGATGCGACGATCAATAGGCATGCAGCACCACCACAACCAGAGGAGCCTTCACAAGCAAACGCAACGGCCGCTCCCATTACATTTGACGATGTCCTAGAGCCAGACGCGTCGGTGACAGCAATGTCCCTCCCACCTGCAAATGCTACGAGGCAGATGCAGGAGAATCGACTGATCATGCTTATTCGCGATTTCCTATCCGAGCGAAACGTACATCTCCACACTGCTCGACGGATGTTTGCCGAAAGTTTCGCTCGTTTACTCCAGGCCCAGGCCCGCAAAATTACCATATACGACAGTAATGCTTGTTATACACTGTGCGATTTTCTAGAAGAGGCGTTTGTCATCATGGTCCGTTACGAACAACACGATAGCGACCACCACTCAGTCTTGAACTGGGACTTCTGGCTTTCCGTGTGCAAAGCGATGGCTTCAAGTCATAACACTGGCACCGAGATCAAGTTGTATTCTTTTCTATTCAGCATCTGGCCCACACTGGTTATGGATGAACGGCGCAAAGCAAGCTTATGCCTCGATTTTTTGCTGGAGCCAGACTTCTTTGAGAGCCGATTCAACCACTGGTGTCCGATGGTGCGCTCCTACTTTATGCGCCTCCTATGTTGGCGAGTCGCACGTTTTGATGGAGAGGAGACCGATGTCGAAGTGTTCGTACAATGGACCGAGGTGAAATGTTGACCACTATACTAACGCATAGTAGGGAGATCAAGCGAGCGTTGAGCGACCGTCTACGCACTGTATGGTCACACTATTTGTGGCTTCAAGAGGAGGCTGAGAAGAAGGACACTGCATTCCCATCAACACAGGCGTGTAACCCTGCGCCGGGCCGACGATTTCTCATCATACGTAATGATAGCCCTGTCACTGCTTGCAATGGCCCCTTTCTCTCATTCGACGGTGTTGTGCAGAATCCTCATCAAGCAAAACTGCCGATTCCTGTTAGTACAAGTCCAGAAACCGAACTTCGACCAACATCAGCAATGTCAATCGATTCCAATGATTTTCCGGACGAGGAACCAGGGAGGGGCAAGTGGGGTCTCTTCCGCAGTCTTATAGGGGGAGGCTCAAGCAAGGCCGCGAAGGCGAAGAGCCCTAGCCCGAGCATCAAAGAGAAGGAGAACCTGAAGACCAATGGAGGCAGGACGTCAAATGATGCCGGCTCGAGTAAACAGTCTTCCCCGGAACCGTCTGCGCCGCCTCCTCTGACGCATCGCTCCTACAGCTTCCGCTTTTCCCTCGAATGGGTGGACAAGCGCTTCGGTACTTATCAGAACATGCGCCTTCAGCCTCCTCGTCTGCCGCAACCCGCTCAGACCCTCCTCCAACACCGAGCGATCAACATGGACCCTGTAAGCAGCGTCCAGCCGACCGGCACCGCAATAACATCAAGCACCTACGCTGGACGTGCGCTTGCAGAATGGACTTTCGTTAGTCACGAATGTCAGAACTTCTTTGACAGGCGGAAGAATGAAGGTGTACCAACGAATCGTCAAGTGGAAACACCCTCACTCAATGTCGAAGCTTTCAGACGACCAGGCTGAGCTCGATCCCCACACATAAACACACAGATTCCTCAGCGTATCCGAACCACGGCATTCACACCCATCACCCTCATTATCCACAGGTTCGAATTCGAAAGCCTGCAAACAGCTCGTCAGCACAAAACAAACAAGCGCATACATTCACATTTACGATTGCATACGGAAGGCCAGCTTAACCAACAATCGGCCTTTCCCTGGTGGCGTTTTTTTTTTCGAGGACCCCCTCTCCTACTTGTCGATCCTTTTTATCTTATTTTCTGAGTTGTCCCTGTCCCTTCACTTTTGTTCGACTATTTTCTCTTCTGTTGCTTACATTATCTTGCATGCATGCATGGCAGTGCGCTTCTTTTTTGCATGGGGCTATTTGGCATCTCCAGGGACGGAGATTCTTTTCTTATCTGCGTTCTTTTCTTGTGCGGGCGTTGGGAATCTGAGGGTGCGATAGAGGGGTTATTGTTTACCACCTAGGAAGCAGCATGGGGAAGAAGCGAGATGGGAGGTGATTTGGACAGCAGGGGGAAGGGAAGAGTGCGGTCAAGGTGAAGCAAAGCATACATGGTCGGGGCGTTTGGGGATACATAGATGTATTATGGCAACATGCAACAGCCCAAAGTAGGATTGATCCGCTTGTTTTGCATGGTCAGCGTGTGCAGTGTGCATTGTTGTTGTATACATGCAAGCATGCATGTATGTGTGTGTACGGAAATGAGGCTTTGCCAAACCCTTCAAAACAGTATATCAACACAGCACCATACGATCCCTTCATCTTGTAACACACCCTTTCACCACGCACGCGCCTCATTTTAGTCCCCCCTCTGGCAACGCAACCCCCTTTCCCCCCACCAAGCCTCACCCGTGCCTGGAAAAAAGGTGAAGTCGGGTAAGAAGGAAAGACAGTAGCCATGTTGCGGCTGGCACAGATATGGAGGCGCTGAGGACTTGGGGAATGGTGGTATGTATTGGGTTGCGCGAGCATGGAGGGTGGTTGAGATGTAGGAGGGAGGGTGTGGTGGATGAACAGCATGCGTTTTTGTAGTGTGGTAACTTGAACACATTTCAACAAATGTCAGCACAACATCTCCACGATCTCTAGTCGTTACCATATAAGCCAAGCCAACGGTGCACCATGCTACTCCGCAGAAACGGCGTTTCAACCCAACAGTAGATACCTACCGTGCCCCGTCATCTCCCACATTCACTCCAGCGCGCACGCAAGCAGCACGTTTTACATCTGCCGAGGGGTCCGTGGTAGGGCATCCCGGACACAGACGTACGTAGTACCGAATTACTATATAGATACTGTACTGCGGGTAAGCTACCAGGAATATGATTACCAAAGCAAATGATGTGTGGCGCGCAACCGATGTCGCGGATAGATTGCGACTTCTACCACGGAGTCTAGGCCCATGGGGCGGGAGCGTGGGAACCTTTGTATGGATTGGTGTGGTACAGTAACATGTATGTATGTAGGTACCCTCTGCAGTGCATCTGGCATTTGTGTGGGTGCCGCGGGATCGGCGTAACGAGTAGTTAGGAATATTACGGATGGAGAGATGCGAGATTGGCTTTTTGGCTTACGAGCGAGACAAGCTTTGCCAAGTCTTACCTGCCGTAGGAAGGAGATCTTTGCGATGGATTGAGGATTTGAAAGGAGGAGGGTTTGGGATCTGGGTGGAGGTTTTGGTGTGCTTATTGACGGTGAGTGTGTGTTTGTTGATGGGTGGTGTGTAGATACATGGACCTACATATAGATTCAGGTATATAATAGCTGGCGTGTATACTACCGTACTATCTAGGTACGTGATCGTCTTTGTCGATCTTGGGTGGTCGACGATCTATTTGGGGAGTCTTACCAAGCGCTAGGTATTATAGGTACCTGTCTTACGGCCGTGATGAGCGCTAACTGTTGTATAGTTTTGCATCGTACTCTTTGTATTAGACATATAGCTGGGTGAGATGGAAGTCGGTAGTTGGCGAGATATGTTTCATGTTAGGCAGTGTAGGGATGTAGGGCTGCATGTCCACGAGCGTCTCTGAGGATGGCTATTGATATGCCTCTGAATCTGACTGCTACCTTATACATAGCAGGAGCTGAGATCTCGGTCTGGAGGATTGAAACCGATGGCGAGATGAGGCTCTATTATCGTCATTCTTCTTTCTAGCGTCCGCTTTCTAGCGTCCGAATTGAGGCTGATAGTTTCCCCGTTCTGATCATCTAGGCACAACTCGGTGTTGGGATGGTATCGTTCAAATTGTGCCGCCGAGCACTAGCCCTTCTTAGTTGGTAGTTAACTGATGACGAAGAGAATGGGGGTTTTGTTGCTACTTGTATTGCAGTGTAGTGTCTGTAAAGAGAACAAGACAACTTCAAAAACATCGAGGTAGGCCTGCATAACGGTTATGTATGAGGGGCAGTCTGCTGTGTGCGACTGCAGCGAGACCTCGGAATGGCAAGTCGAACGGGGGACATGCTCAACTTCGTACGAGTTCAAGTGCAGGTATTGGAGGTATTCGGTCAAAGTAAGATTGTAGCTCAAGTGTTATAGGTATTCGGCCATAGTAAAATTGTAGCTGAAGTATTATAAATAGACCTCTACTCCATTTTGACTACAAGTGGCCGAATGCAAAATGCAGACTACCTACCTGAGCCACCGAGGTTGATTGCAAGTCACGGTCAAGATGACAATACCCACTTTTAACACTTCTGGTCAGTGAATTATCTTGCGTGGACGACGAGACATGGCCTAGGATTGCTAGCCTAAAGCCTGATGTACCTTGTCGACCCATTTTGGACCGGGCGGGAGTGGGCGGTTTGGGTTGTATTACAGGATACCCTAGAGTCAACATTGACAACGAAGCGCTCCGGAAGTAAATACGCCGTGGCTGTTATGAAAGCATACGTACCATACAATGGATGGGTACTCGTGATCATGATAACCCCGGCGATCTCGCGCAACATCTGGAAGGTTACACCACCACATCCTCTTTCCAGAACATCAACACCGCACGAGCGGAAGCTACACGTAAGTCAGCATCGCCAGTCAAGCTTTACGCACTGCCCAAAACGACAATGCTTCCTGGTTTCGGTACGCGATACCCCGCAAGCCCTTGCAGATCCGCGAAACACCATCTCAACTCCACAATCGCGTCAATGTTGCAGCTTGAGTGTCGGTCTCGGCATCAACAATGCCGTCCTATCAGAGTGCACCCCGCAACACACACGGCTGGTATTAATCTGGGGTACTATATTTCTCGTTTTAAACAGGCCATGGCGGGAAACTTTGTGTCCACTGTGACCGCTTACCACGTTGATGTCCGCGGAAAAAATATAGCGGTGGTACCCCGGGTCATCGCGTGTTCAGGGAGCAGCAAGTAAAATTATCAGGGGGGGTTTCCGACTTTCTGTATTGGATGGGATGAATTGTTATGCGTTCACATGTTACGTCGGACGGTGTGTGTATATAAACATGGTCCCCAAGTCTTTTCCTTAGCATTCTCCAAGCACTCAACTGGCTTAGCAAGAGCAAGGACAATAATCTCTGCAAAATGCTTTCCTCAACGAGCATCCTCTCGCTCTTGGCGTTTACGGGAACTGCTCTCAGTGCCCCTTCGCATGTCTCCAAGAGTGGGCTCAAGGTGTACACAGCGGGAGATTCGACAATGGCGAAAGGCAGCGGTGCAATTACTGGTACGATCTCATGCTATAAACTCGTCTGGCAGCATGACTAATACTCTATACAGGATGGGGTGTATACCTCCCGTACTCACTCTCAGTCCCGGTTGTGAACAAAGCCATGGGTGGACGCAGCTCGCGCTCCTACACAGTCGAAGGTCGCTTCGACGATATCGCCAACCTCGTCCAGCCCGGTGACATCGTCATCATGGAATTCGGTCACAACGACGGTGGCAGTCTATCACCCAAAGACAACGGTCGCACTGTATGCCCTGGTAGGGGATCCGAGGTCTGTAAAGTCACCTCCGGTGGCAAGAACATCACAGTACACACATACAGCTACTACCTCACTGAAGCTGGCAAGGACCTCATCAAAAAGGGCGCAAAGGTCATCATATCCAGCCCCACCCCTAACAATCCTTGGGAGGGCGGCACGTTCAGCTACACTGATGGTGGGCGCTTCGTTGAGTACTCGAGGGATGTGGCCAAGGCCCTGGGCCCGAATGCCATGTATGTGAACCACAGTGCGTACACTGCCGCCATCTTCAAGGAGCTCGGGAAGGAGAAGACGGATGCTCTGTTTCCGAAAGACCACACTCACACTTCTCCTAAAGGTGCAGATGTTGTGGCCAAGGCTTTCGTCAAGGGGCTGCAGTGTGGTGGTGGCGGTTTCTTGAAGGGATACGTCAAGAACGCTACTGAGACTATTGACGGATCTTGCATTTAGATTTGAAAAATTGAGCGGGAAGCTGTAGTGGTTTATATATTAAGCGTTGCCATAGGTTCTTCCGTGGAACTATACGCACTTGATTCATGTATATAGTTGTAGAAAACAGCTGTACTGTCATACCTTTCGATTGATCATAACTTTGATGGAACTCGAGTAATTTGATGGTATGCATTGTGAGAATCAATGCGTCGCTATCCCATTCAGCCTGATCGATCTTTTCGGCAATGCTCAACACAATCTTCGGCCCAATTTGATGGTAGTCAGTCCAATGGACTGCCTAATATCGTGGATTAATTTCATCCGGAGATTCTGTGGCATTGTTGAATAGAAAGAGATTGAGGCTTTAGATCAAGAAATTGGAAGTTCTGGCATCTTATGAGAGCTTTGCGTACGCGGGAAGATGAGGGGCGAAAGTGCTGTTAAGAGCTGAGAGCTTCTCGACACTGTCCTCATAGTGCATACCGGTACCCCTGCAGATAGGTACCGACGTGGGAAGCGGGAGGTGGGGGCCGAGATGCCTCTAGCCCCTTTTCACATCACTGCACCTCGATACCATAGTATCAACACATGATGAGATGCATTGGAGTCTGTCTTGTTACGATGGCTAAAGAACTAGCGTAGCTTTCTTATACTGGCGAAGTCTGTGGTCTGTCTGAGCAGTATTTCCTTTGTCATCTTCATGATGACACAAAAACTACTCAGTCCAACCGACACTATGCCTTGCCAACTTGTTCCCTTCGCTGGGTGTTTTCAAAGTGCCACACAATGTTGCGGCAATGCATAGAGTCTTTTCAGGTACCATTTACGGTACAGGTTACTCGAGGGCTGTACATGCATGGTGCCTTGCCGCAGCCAACTTTACGCCCCATTAGGCGACCAACGTTTGATCCTCCAAACTGAGTAACCGAATCATGGAGAGATATATAACCGCCGACAAGTTTTCACGTCAAGTTCAATGCTCTCTTTTTCCCTCTTGCTCGTTTTCCCCCTCACCTCTCGTTATGTTACTGCGGTTGGGCACTCAAGCCTTTACCGCTAGCACTTTCATTCTGGCATCTGTTGCCGCTGATTGTAATCCCCTCGCAGTGTCCCTTCCATTCAAGAGCAATGTCCTTTCCAATCGAGTAGAAGTCCGGGGCATACAATTGAGGATTGGCGGTCCGAGTGCGCAAACAATCGCGCTGCTTCCCAGCGCGTAGGTGACGACTATGCTTCTGAAAAAGACCCAGCTTACGAAACTTTAGTTCTCTTAATGATACATACTTGTATGGGGCGGCAAATAGTCTGTGCAAACAACTCGTACCGAACAGCACTCCGCAGAAGTTTGTGAACTTCTCAATCGAAGAATGTACGACGTTCAGAGGTGGCCTATATGACATAGAGTTGTCAGGGAGCAAAACTGTCGGTATATCCGAACAGCATCCATACGACAATACCACGGCAACGTGGATAGCTGATGATGTTACTATAATGAATATCAAAGACCAGGGTCTCGACCTTCCGCAGCTCGCATTCGGTATTCGTGCAGGGACGTCTCATCCGTACGTGAACAAGGGTGAATTAGGATTGGGCATAGAGTCTACATTCCTGAGTACACTGGCATCGCGAAACCAAATCGCATCAAAGACGTACTCATTCTTCTGGGGCACCGACTCGACCATATCCGACAAACCACGTAATGGCTCATTAACGCTTGGAGGCTATGATGAGGCGCTCATTGGTGACTCTCCAAACACCACCACAACCTTTACTCGCAATAATTGGAAGTGTCGCGAGGGTATGGTCGTAGAATTAACGGGGATAGGGTTGAATTCTGTGACCGGGACGGCCCAGCACGTGCTGAAGTCGGAGAGACTGCAAGCATGTGTTGTTCCTACGCTTTCCAGTATCTTGACGTTGCCCTACCAATACTGGGTTAGGATGCATGATATATTGGGCGTCGAACAGACACCATTCAACAATGGTTCCGCTGGTGAGCTACTCTATGGAGTAGCCTCCGTGTATCCGAATACTGCGTATGAGTGCATAACGCGAAGCATTGTCAACGATCCGCTAATTCGACACAGGACTTTCAAGGGCAATCTGTCCATCTCTATCAACGACGAGATCACAGTCAATATTCCCAACGAGCTTTTCATCGTCGACGAGCCGTACACGGTGAACAATGGGCAGATTAGACGGAGCACGGTCTGGAAGGATATTCCAGTAGTTAGCTACCTGGATCTAGAGGAGAACATGCCGCGCCTCGGAGGCATGTTTTTATCCTCTGCGTATCTCATGGTCGATCACGATAAGAACGAATTTACCATAGCGCCAGTGCAAGTACAACCCATGGAACAGAAGTTGATGGGCATCGATACTACAAACGCATGCGTAGCTGCTGTAGATGGCGCGGTAGTAACTGTGCCAGGCCCCTCACCGGAAAAGCCATCAGATGCTCACGGCAAGACTGCAAATAGACTTTCATCTGGAGCTATAGCCGGTATCTTCGTTGGTGTCCTAGCTCTAGTCTGCGTATTGATTGGTACTACGCTGTTTCTTCGGAGGCGGAGATTGAGTCGTCACGATGCGAACCCCCACGAGCTTCACAAACCAGTGCACATGGGACACGTCGCTGATCCACTGGTACCAGAGAAATATGGGATGAACGCAACAGAATTGCCAGCAGGGTCGTATTCTAGCGAAATGAGTGCTGATGAGAGACAGCATGCCTTGGAGCTAGATGGTATTAGTCGGCTGGTGGAAGTCCCGGCAAATAGATATGAAGGGGATAGACATTGAGTCGAAGAATATAACCGGGTGTAGTAGACTTCAATTTAAGTGAGGTCATTGACCGTACAGTATGTGTAAGGTTATTGTTGTCAAGCTGTGTCGAACCGGTGTTCATCGTGGCAGCCTAATAAAGCATGTGTAGGGTACAGCGCGGATGTCCCACGGACGAAGATTTGCAAGTATATGAATAGTTTTTGCAATGTTCGAGAAAATGCTCCCAGTATCATAAGCACGTCTATTTCTGCTCTGTTGTATTCATAGGGTTCAGAAAGAATACGTTGCGGTAGTATCGTGCTTCTTCGATACTCTCCAGAATATCTGCACGCGCTTCGTGTAGCATTTGCTTTCTGGGGATCTTCTTGAGAATATCTTTGGGTGCCCATCTCCGGGCGGCCTCTTTGATACTACTGACATCCAGAATCCGGTAGTGGAGGTGATCCATTACAATTCTGTAGGGTGGTAGGACAAGAAATGATTTATCTGCATGGACCGAATTTCCCGAAAGAAGCCCGGTACGACGCTCAGGCACATACTTCTTGATATAAGAAAGCAAGCCTTCTGCGGCTTCTTCTGCGGTTGTTGTCGAGTCGATGCAGGATTGCGTCAGTCCTGATTGGCCGTGGTGGCGAACACACCACTCGCCCATGCGATCGAGCTGCTCTTTGCTGTGATGGATAATGGCCTCATAGCCTTCTTCGTCGAGGAGATTGAGGTCTGCATCTGTGACGAAGACAGCCAGAGACATGATGGTGTCATTATCCGTGTCCAGGCCGGTCATCTGGTTGGTCAAAAAGAGTATGTTTCAATTGCGTGCCTGCACCTACTTCGCAGTCTATCCAGACCAGGGGGGCCTTTGACACCGACGCCATATTGTTCTGGTCACAGTGATGTCGCTATCTAGGTATGTATCCTACGCTGCGTAATGAGAGATGATGGTGCCCACAAAGAGAGTGGCGTGAATTACGCTAAGCCGCGATGTAGATTAATTGAAAACAGACTCAGGGGCTACGCCTTTCGACGTCCCTCCAAAGGACNTTCAAAACGCGCCACTTGCACATTCGATAACGCTTCAGCACGCTCTTCGGTGTGGCCTTGTCTCTTTTTTGCTTCCATACACTTCTACGATATTATAGTACACCATGTCTCGTGCAAAGGCATTAGCGGAGATCAAGGCTCTGCGCGCTGCTGGCAAGACGCGCTTGTCTACATATGAAGTTGAAGAGGAGGAGCAACTGTACGATACGGTCGACGAAGATGGATACAAGAAGATTGTAAGAAGTCGATTAGACCAGGATGACTTCATCGTAGACGACAATGGCGAGGGTTATGTCGATGACGGCCGGGAGGAATGGGATGATGGCCAGGGTCGTTACCACTACGCTGCCACCGACAGCGAAGGCGAGGATGAACGGCCCGCAAAAGGCAAAGCCGGTGTGTGCAGAGCGTGTGCTATGTCTTTTTTGACAGTTCTAATGGGTTGTAGCGAAACGGAAACGCGAAGAAGACAAGGAGAAGCAAGATAAGATCAATAACGGCATCAGCAAGTACTTCAGTGCAAAAACGGCGGCAAAGGCCCCCAAACCAAAGGTAGTTCGTCAATTGCAACAATTGACTGCACACATACTAATCTGTGTAGCCTGTTGCTACCGCTGCAGACAAAGACTTCATGGAAGATCTTCTCGGCGAGATCGATACAAACCCTATCCGTCAACCCGCTCCTCGAATGCGACCTGTCAAGACAGAGGCACGGAGAAAGACACGTGTACTGTCACCTCCCATATCTGAGAACCGCCCAGCTGTATCGAAAAAGAGGACTAATGACTCGGATACTATTATGCCCGACACACCGCCAGCAGCGAACGAATATGGCGATGACGACGGACTTCCTACATTTGCCGACGACGATGTGCCCATGAGTGACCCACCCCTTCAATCATCACCTGTAGCAAAGGCTGTGCAGCGAAGAGCACAGCCTGCAGTCAAGATTGAGGAAGAGGAGGAGGATCTCATGGAGGTCACACAACCCACTGGAGGCCTCGGCGTGCCCGTCACAAGCGTCAACATGGCCGGAAAACGTCCTATAGCGAGAATCAAGAAAGCAGAATATCCCACTCCTGCCAGCTCGTCTCCGGTCGGACCATCAGCTGTGGACGCATCGTCCTGGAACGAAGTCACCAGCAAACTCAATGTTATGAGTAGCCCTGCCCCGCAAACTACTGGCGTTGGAAAAATGAGGCCAGAAGATGCACTCGAAGAAGATGGCAGCCTCCATATGTTTTGGATCGACTATACCGAGATCAATGGCAGTCTCTGCTTATTCGGCAAAGTCAAAGACAGGCAGACAGGCAATTATGCGAGTTGCTTCTTGAAAATTGACAATATTCTTCGCAAACTGTACTTCCTACCCCGCGAGTATCGACAGGTTAGAGGCGTTACGACCGACGAGGAGGTGAGACTAAGTGACGTTTCAGACGAAGTGGACTCCATCATGAGCAGACACCGGGTGGGAATGCACAAGATCAAACCTTGCACCCGCAAGTATGCCTTTGAACTACCAGACATACCAAAGGAGGCAGACTACCTCAAATTATTATACGGATATGACAAGATGCCTCTTTCCGCTGACCTAAGCGGAGAGACATTTTCGCACGTCTTTGGTACTAATACTTCGCTCTTCGAGCAATTTGTGCTCTGGAAGAACGTCATGGGTCCTTGCTGGCTCAAGATTGACAACCCTGATCTCGGGGCTATTCACAACGCCTCGTGGTGTAAGCTTGAAGCCCAGGTCGCCAAACCCAATAGCATCTCGGTACTCAGCAATTCAGACAATTTGGACGCTCCCCCTATGACGCTGATGAGTCTTTCGCTACGAACTACTTTCAATGCCAAGGACAACAAACAGGAGATCCTTATGGCCAGCGCTATGATTTACGATAAATTTTCGCTTACTGATACGACTCCAATTGAAGATATGGAGTGCAAGTCCTTCACTGTTATGCGGCCGAATGGTGTTGCCTTTCCTACGGGCTTCCAAGCCGAAGTGGAAAAGGTCAAAGGAAATTTCACGCTGAAGAAGACAGAACAAGAGCTTCTCAGTTGGCTCATGGCAATGTTTCAGCGATATGATCCTGATGTGCTTGTTGGTCATCGTCTGGATGATGTCGATTACAGCGTTTTGCTCAGTCGTCTAAGAGAGAAGAAGACCCCTGGTTGGCACCGTATTGGACGTCTCAAGAGAAGTGACTGGCCGAAGAGTATGGGCAAAGGTGGAGGAAGCTTCTTTGCTGAAAAGCAACTAGCTTCGGGCCGCTTGCTCTGCGATCTTGCCAATGACCTCGGAAAGTCGCTCATGACGAAGTGCCAGTCGTGGAGTCTGGAGGAGATGTGCCAGCTGGTCCTGAACAAGAAGCGCGAGGAGCTCGATAACGAAGCTGCTCTGAACAGCTGGGCAGCCACCAAGGAGGGGTTACTGAACTACGTCAAGCACTGTCAGGCCGATGCATACTTTATCGCGGCTATCTCGATGAAGGTGCAGATGCTTCCTTTGACCAAGGTTTTGACCAATCTTGCTGGTAACTCCTGGGCCCGGACATTGAGCGGTACTCGTGCTGAGCGAAACGAGTACATTCTGCTCCACGAGTTTCATAAGAACAAATACATTTGTCCTGACAAGCAATGGGGCAAGAGCAAGGTCAAGATTGAGGAAGACGCGGTAGAAGGCGAGGAAGGTGCAGATGCGAAGAAGAAGGACAAGTTCAAGGGTGGTCTCGTCTTCGAGCCTGAGAAGGGACTTTACGACAAGTTCATCTTGGTTATGGATTTCAACTCTCTATACCCTAGTATCATCCAGGAGTTCAACATTTGCTTCACTACCGTCGAGCGAGCTGATCTCTCCGAAGATGACGACAAAGTCCCTGAAGTCCCAGCAACTCAAGAACAAGGCATCCTGCCCCGCCTCATTGCTACACTTGTCTCCCGTCGTCGAGAAGTAAAGAAGCTCATGAAGGCCAAGGATGCTACACCGGATCAGCTAGCCACATGGGATATCAAACAACTTGCTCTGAAGCTGACAGCCAATTCTATGTACGGTTGCTTGGGATACACAAAGTCACGGTTTTACGCTCGGCCGCTTGCAATGCTCACCACCTACAAGGGACGAGAGATTCTAAGGAAAACCAAAGATATGGCCGAGGAGAAGGCGCTGCGTGTCATTTATGGCGATACCGACTCCGTCATGATTAACACGAATGTGGACAATATCCAAGACGCTCTGAAGCTTGGTAACGAGTTCAAGAAGGAGGTCAATGACAGCTACAGGCTTCTCGAGATTGATATCGATAACGTTTTCCGCCGCATCCTGTTGCATGCAAAGAAGAAGTATGCTGCTATCAACATGATACCTGTTGATGGCAAGTATGTTGAGAAGTTGGAGGTAAAGGGTCTTGATATGAGACGCAGAGAGTACTGTGCCCTGTCGAAAGAAACATCAACGTTCGTTCTCCTTTCCTTTTACCCTTTCCTTTTGCATTTTTGAACATCTATCTAACTTGGATACAGTGAGCTCCTGAACTTCCTATTGAGTGGCGAGGATCCCGAAACGGTCGTTGAAAAGATTCACAACCATCTCCGTGAGCTCAGCAAGCGTATGCGTGAATATGCCATCCCCACTCGCAAATACACTATCTACACGCAATTAGGCAAGAACCCCAAGGAGTATCCCAATGGCAACTCCATGCCTTCTGTTCAGGTTGCCCTCCGGCTCATGGCAAAGGGCAAGCACGTCAAGGCCAAGGATGTGATGAGCTTCATCATCACTGGAGAATCATCAGGCTCGGCCGAGAATGCAGCAAAGAACGCTTACCCGGTCGATGAAGTGCTCAAGACGGATAGCGGGCTCAAGCCAGACATCGACTACTACCTCCACAAGCAGATCCTCCCACCGGTAGAGCGATTATGTGCTCCCATCGACGGCACAAACATCACCATGTTGGCCGCATGCCTAGGTCTTGACACGAGCAAGTACCGCGTTTCCACCGTCTCTGGCGGTGCCCAGCAAGATACTGAGATCCATCCCTTGGAATCGCAAATCCCAGACTCCATGCGCTTCCAATCCTGCACACCTCTTTGGCTACGCTGCCGCAGCTGCACAACCGTCTTTCCTTTTCAAGGCCTTTCGGCTACATCACCCACCACGACGTCCTTGCAAACTGTATCCCACAACGGTATCCAATGCCCCGCCGAAGGATGCAAACAGATTCTTCAAACCCTCTCCGTCGTAGCCCAACTCGAGTCCTCGATCCGCCAGCTCCTCGCCTCCTACTACGCCGGCCACCTCGTCTGCGACGATCCCCAATGCGGAAACCGCACACGCAGCATTTCCGTCTACGGCCACCGCTGTCTCGGGCCCAAGGGTCTTGCAAAGGACTGTCTGGGCAAAATGCACTGGGAGATGCGCGAAAAGGACGTGTGGAACCAGCTTCTGTACTTTCAGAGCTTGTTCGATGTCGATCGCGTGGCTAAGGGTGAGGAAGGGGTTAAGGTCGAGGAGAGTAGGGTGAAGATGAAGATTCTGGCGGAGCAGAATCGGGAGAGGTTTGGGACGTTGAAGGGGGTTGTGGAGGCGTGGTTGGAGAGGAATGGGAGACAGTGGGTTCAGATGGATAGTTTGTTTTCTTTTGCGTTGAAGGCTTAGTTGCGGTGGGGGGTCTTGGGTATAGCAAGGGCGCTGTTTCTATCAGTGGCACGGACGGGAAAATTGGATTAGCTATGGGTGTTTTACGGGCCTGTTGGAGTAGTGTAGTGCGGCATTCGCTGTGAAGGATTTTGCTGCCGGTTTGTCTGAGAAATATGTTCAGGTACATAGTAGTTTCACCGTCTTGCAGGTATCGAATGTTGAATAGCGTTTGATATGCTTTATAACCTGTAATCAGTTCATTGCATTAAAAAGTATACCTGGATATAAATGTTGCAAAGAAGAAGGAAAAGAAGAAGATCAATCCTCTATTATTTTTCAAAAGCATGGTCCCACATGCCATCACGTCCTCGCAATCCCGTCCGACGCCACTCCCCCTTTACCCGTCTTTGCCTTTCCTGAACCCTCCACAGCCTTCCGACAAGCCTCATGAAACACTTCCATAAAGCGATGGACATCCAGAAACGAATTGTACAAGGGCGCCGGCGTAATTCTCAAGACATCAGGTTTCCTCTCATCAACCACCACACCCTTGTCTTCAATGTCTCTCTGTACCTGCTCCAGCAGACCCGGTTGCAAGAGCACACTGAGTTGCGCACCTCGTTCCGCTGGGTTCGCGGGTGTGATGATGGTGTAGGGTGGGTTACCGCCGGGGTAGCGAAGTAGGCGGGCTTCCAGGTAGCCTGTGAGGCGGAGACTGCGTTGGCGCAGAGCGTCAATGGAGGTCAGAGAGAATACGTCGAGGGAGGCCATGACAGATGTTATATCCAGTGCACTGGGGTTGCTGAGTTGGTAGCCGCTTGCGCCGGGGATGGGGATGAAGGTGTTGGACATGGCGAAGCGGGAGGATTTGTCGCTGCCCCACCAGCCGCTGAGTCGGGGTCTGTAAATTAGCTCTGTGGATTGGTTCCTGGAGTCTTTGGATGTGTTTGGGTTTCGTGGGGTGGTTGATGGCTTTTCAACGGTGCCGTGGCGCTCGTGGACGAAGAGACCGCCTATTACGCCTGGGCCGCCGTTCATGTACTTGTAGTTGCACCATGCGGCGAAGTCTACGTTCCAGTCGTGTAGTTTGAGTGGTACGTTGCCCGTGGCGTGGGCGAGGTCCCAACCTACTGTGATGCCGAGGGCGTGACAGTGACGGGTTATGAGTTCAATGTCGAAGTATTGACCAGAGTAGAATTGGATGCCTGGCAGGAGGACAAGAGCGGTGGTTGCGGCGTGTTGGGAGATGATGGAGAGGATGTGTTCGGTGGAGAGATAAGGCGAGGAAGACGATGGTGGGTCTATGGTGATGAGTGCGGATGGGTCTAGGTTGTGATGTGCTATTTGGGAGAGTGCGGCGTACTATGGTACTTTGTCAGTAATTACTCTTTCCAATAGGTATTAGTGTCAAGACTCACATGGTCACTGGGAAAGGCCTTCCCTTCGATGATAATTTTCCATCGATCCTTGCTAGGCTTGTAGAAACTCGCCATTAGGAGATGCAAATTCGCGGTCAGAGTCTCCATAACCACAACCTCACTTGACAGCGCTCCCACAATCTTCGCCGTCTGTTCTTTCACTACATCGTCGATGTGCAACCAAGGCGGCAGCCCCCCTTCATAGTCAGTGAAGTGTCCAAAGACGCCCTTGGATGCCCACGTATCCATATATCGGTTCACATATTCCTTTGTTCGCCGTGGTTGCAGTCCAAGAGAGTTGCCGCAGAGGTAAATCGAATCCTCGCCATCATCGTTCCGCGTAGGGTGTTTCTGATGCCCAAATTTCTTGTTCCGAAGATCGCCTTTGGTCGGTATCCAGAATTCCTCCCTCAACTTGCTGAGCGGATCCTTTGCATCTTCTGCCTTGGCAAAAGCCTCGGAGCACAGCTCCAGCGTGGCTACCTGCAAATATGCATTCTGAAGTTTTGGCATTGTGAAGTGGGCAGCTGTGGGACGAAGGAACGGTCCAGCCTGGCCGACGATCTGCAGCTTAAATACTCGACCAGGAAGTGTCCACGGGTCTAGAAAGTTCGCGGACAAAATATTCTATCTCGCCGTCTCTGTGTTTTTTTCCAGGTATCGATTATATTGATGCCCTTGCACCGCAACAGGCGGGGCACCAAATCAGAGGGGCTCGTTGGACGCAGGCGGTGGGGGTGTGGTTCCTGACTAATCGGCCCAGAACTTCTGGTCCATAAGTAACGGCGCATGATTGGCTGCATCGGGTTGGGCGTGGTGTTTCTCTGCGATGACCTCAGAGAAGGAAGTCTGATTCAACGAGACAACGACTTCGACAACACTGCACACTCCATAACCATCCACCTCGAAAATGGCATCACCCTACATAATGTGCGCTTCTTGTCTGCGTGCAGCTAAAGCAGGGATGGGAAAGGCCGTCTTGAGTCGTACAGTTCAACGGCCAAAGTCTGCGAGAGCCTTCAGCAAAGCGACGGCCAGTCTGCGACCGTTATACCTCGACTTCCTCGCACCATCTATCAACAGAGCAGGTACAAATACTACGCCAGCATACAACCCACCATCATCTCTTGGAATAAATACCCGAAGAACCCTTACCACCACTACCACTACTACAACTACAACCACCTCTCCAACATCCTCCCCACCCGTCGCCACACCCGCCACCCCCATCCTCAACCCCCGCACCGACGACTCGGGTGCGCCCATGACCATCTCCATATCTCCCCGCGCATCTCACCGTCTCCACACCATCGCAACCAAAGACGCCAATCCCTCCCTCGCCCTGCGCGTCTCCATCGAAAGCGGCGGCTGCCACGGCTTCCAATACCTCATGGACCTATGCGACCTGTCAAAACAGCCCGCAACCGACGAAGACACGGTGTTTGAAGGGCCCAAGGGCGAGAAGGTGGTGATTGACGAGGCGAGCTTGGAGTTGTTGAGCGGGAGTACGGTGGATTACAGCATGGAGTTGATAGGCAGTCAGTTTAAGATTACGGGTATTCCGGGGGCGACGAGTAGTTGTGGGTGTGGCACGAGTTTTGACATAAAGTTGTAGATGGCTTCTTGAGGAGCATACATGTATAATGGCAATCATGAAAAGATGGCGGACAGTGGCAGGATAGACATCATCTCAAAGGCTACTAATAATGTATCAATTCATTGGACTGGGATACGTCGTATATTTCTCCCTAACGGCCAAAGCCAGAGCCAAAGGTATCGCCGTCTAAAAGCCCATCAAAATTATTTACCCAGGTAGACCAGACAAAGCCCCACAAGTGCAGCAATCAAACCCGGTAGTGCCCCAATTGGTCCCTTGGTCCCTTCATCTAACGCTTAACATACTAGGGAGCCTTTGATGACTTCGCAGCCTGCATGAAAGCACTAACGGTTCCATCCCGAGGGCATTTCAGCCAAAGGCGTCAACCACATGTTTTGCTTGTCAAAACTCGACACTGTCTTGACCAGCTTGATAAACTGCTTGGCATTCGTGTGCTTGAAGCAACTCTTGAACTCGGGAAGGAAGTCCCTGAGATTCATGCCCTGTGGTGGAATGGAATCGTAAATTTCCTTGGCGGTAGGATACTAACTAGCCTTTGATGAATTCGCAGCCTGCATAAAAGCACTGACATTTTCATCCGATGGCATTTCAGCCAACGGCGTCAGCCAACTGTTTTGCTTGTCGAAACTCGATACTGCCTTGACAAGCTTGATAAACTGCTTGGTGTTCGAGTGTTCAACGCGACTCTTGAACTTGAGAATGAGATCCTTGAGATTCATGCCCTGTGGTGGAATAGAATCATGGATTTCCTTGGCCGTGGGGAGCTGCTTGACGGCGCCCGAGGGACTACCAGCTCGGCTACCGTTGAGGTTGGGGGCAGAGGGACTCCCCGCGCGGCTGGGGCCCGGGGTGCCACTGGGAGAGGCGCCGAGCACGAGCCTGGACTTCTTCTTCTTCTCTTTGCGGATGCGACCGGCGTCGGTCATCTCGCTGTCACTACCAGAACCAGCACCCTTGAGAGCAGCGAGAGAGGACTTGCGGGAAGGATCAGTGAGCTTGTCACGGTTCTTCTTGTGCTTCTTGCGGGAAGACTCGTTGCCACTAGCTTCTGACAGGTTTGGCGAACCAGGCCGCTTCTTCTTATTGCTGTCAGCAAGCTTGTTGATCCCTGACGGCGTGTTTGAACCCTTTGTCGATGTGCCAGATGGTACATTTCCCCCTTCAACCGTCTTTCCATTTTGCTCCGCGGCTTTCTTCTCTTCCTCTTCCTTTGCCCGCTGCCTTTCCGTCTCAGAGTCGGTGTCGGACTCACTCTCGGTTACATATGGGTTCTCTGGATCGCTGTCTGCATAGTCATACTGCTTCTCACGCTTCACCAGCGTCTTTCGGTAAATCTTTTCCATGGCCTTTATTTCACCAGCCAACTTTGCCTCAAGTTCTTCACGGCGCTCCATCGTCAACTCATCCGGACGTTCCCATAGGGCAGCCTGCAACTGATCTCGCTTCAGTTTCTCAGTGGCCTCTTTGACCTCCTCTTCCTCACCCTCAAAGAGGCCATTAAGCCCTTCCTCGTCATCAGCAAAGTCTTCCTCAAGATTGAAGTCAATGTCGTCAGCATCAGCTTCTTGCTTGACGAAGTTGCCATCCTCATCGAGCCGTGGTTGACGGATTCTACCCTCATCATCGCCTCCACCGCCTACACGCGTGCGGAGACCGCTGTTACCACGTTCGTTTTCTTGTGCTTCTCGCTTGATGGCGCGTGCTTCAATATTCTTGAGGAAACCTGGCACGTGCTCAATTTTGTACATGAGCTTGTCTACGTCGTCGCCTGTCGGCTTCAATTTATTCTTGACGTTGAATCGGTACCAACGCTCCATGGGTGCCAATTGAATGGCGCCTGCGAGTGGGTTGTTGGGGTCCGTGGTGGTGAGCATGACGTGTGCCTCGGAAAGCTCCGACTCATATGTGCCCACCCATGTCTGCTTATTCTCAAAGTCCTCTAGATGCCAAGGCAGCGTCTCTTCGTACCGTAGCAGCTGGCGCTTCTTCGCCTCTGGAGTGTCATCTGGACGGTATTTTTGCTCCGTCTTCTTCTGGAAGGCGTTCGGCTTCTTGGTCCCACTGGGAGCGATCTTGGCTTGGTTCTCGTCGCGAATCTTGCGGCGCTCTTCCTTTTGCTGTTCGATGCGTTCACGTTCCTTGATCTCATCCAAGTCCTCCTTTGTGTCTTCCTCCTCGAAGTGGGAACCTGCACCACTTGGGGGTGCACGCGGATCTCGCCGGTGTAGCTTGATAGGCGGAGTGAACTGCATCTTGTCTTCGATGTCGACGCGTCCTTTGCTTTGCAGGCGCATCACATGATGCCGCAGCTCTTTCAGGTCACGCCGTGTGACGACCAAGGGGAATGTGGTGGCGCCCTGCGCAATGAACTCTTGCCGCAGCGCCTCTTTGGTCTGTGTTCCATCGTTGACGAGGCCCGGCGCCGGCTTCTTGCTCTCGTTCATCGTGGCGAGCGACACCAACGGCCGCGTGATGTTCTGTAGCGGCCGTTTGGGCGCACGCAGTGGGTTCGACTGGGGCCTGCGACGGCGGGCTGGTGGTCGACCATTGTTGGCAGCAGCAGCAGCAGCAGAACCAACACCAGCGGATGCGGGCGCAGTCGTGGGCGCGGCGGGCGCAGCGGCGGGCGTCTGGTTCAGTGTCGTTCCGTTCATAGCGAGCGTGTTGTCTAGAGGATAAAAGGGAGGAGGGGGGAAGAAATGTAACAGAGAGAGAGAGAGAGAGAGAGTGGTGGTGGATGGGACAGACAATAAAAAGGTTGTCCTGCCTTGTCCGGGTGTGAACCATGGGACGCAGGTAACAATGGGCCAATGTAATGCCGTCAGTGCTCCACCTTGCGCTAACCCCAACCCAAGCGTGCCAAGGAAATGACTGGGGGCGGCCCTATCCATGCCCAGGTGCGCCATGTACCGGTATGTGTGATGTCCCCATGCGTCTCCCGCCCATTGCATAGCTATCCCCAGATAGTGACACCATCACTTACACCCTCACCACCGTGTTTGCTGCCCCGAGAAGCAAACCTAGGCAGAAACGCAAAACCCAGCTCTTCAAAACCACGCTTTCGAGTCTGTTCCGCGGGGAGTTCAGAGTCGCATTCGTCAAATCACTATAGGCAATTCGCGATTCCCTATCTGGCTTTGCAAACAAACACTTTTCCATTGGAATGCCCCATGTTATTGGGAAACACAGGGCATTGAATTTGGTAGATCGCACGAGCAGAGACTTGTGTACAAAAGCTAGTCCGTAGGCACGTGACGCTGCGCCAGTCTGGAGGCCTGCAGTAATTAGGTACTACCAAACACCACGCATCACCATCACCGCAGCGCCATTCTGCGACAGTAGAGCGTCCAGCTTTCGCTTCTCAAACACTCCGCTGTTGTAATGGCGCAGGATAGCGCCACCACGCCCAAGTCCACTGGACTGGAAGGTCAGTTGCGCAACATGATTCTCAGCAACGTGACCAGCAGTCAAACAGACTCGGCTCTGCAGCCCACACAGCAAGGTCAAGGTCGAGGCAGAGGCAGGGGCAGGGGCCGAGGATCTGGGGGCCCTACTCGTGGCTTTGACCGAAACCACCAGAATCGTGTCGAACAGGGCCACGGATGGCGCGCAAATCCCTCTTCAAACACAGGTCCGCCAAGGGGAGGAGGTGGAAGGACACACCAGCCAAGTAGCCATTACCACCAAGCTCAAAATATCCCTCACAATCGACAGAGCTCCATTCATTCACCGGTCAGCCCAGCTGGCAATCAACAGCATGGCCCACGGCAAACTCATTACCAGCAGAATCAGCAGGCTCATTACTCCAATATCGGAGGACCTCCCCACGAGCCTCCTATTAAGATTCTCCAAAGGCCCCAGAACAGTCATGTTGTACCAGGTCAAGGGCGTGCGCAAGGATCATATGCGCCCCGACCAAATAACAACTATCCTCGGGAGAACCCCATTGCACAGATCGAGCACATGGACAATCTTGCTGCTCAGGAAATTCCAAAAGCCGAGATGTCTCTCTCTGAGCTCGAGGAGAAGGAGGCATTTCGGAAACGCTTGGAGGACGTGATGCAGCAGGCTATCGCAGAACACTACAAGGGAGACATCGCAACCATCTCCCTAGTCGGCTTTGGTAGTCTTGCATCAGGCTTTGCAATGCCAGGCTCAGATATGGATCTTGCAGTGGTGCCAGAATGGAAAAGCTCTGTCCCATCACACCGAACAGGAATTGATCGCGAGCTTCCCCGTCTTCTAGAACGTGCAGTGTTGGACGTAAAAATGGGTGGTCGCCTACTTACCCGAACACGAGTTCCTATTCTTAAAGTTTGCGAACTTCCAACAGAGGAACTATACACTGCCTTATGCGAAGAACGTCAAAAGTGGGACGAGCTATCTGAGGAAGAGAAGTATCCCGGTGACAGTCCGTCTGAGCCGCCTCCTCCAACCCCTAAATCCCTAGCTGAGAAGGAAGGAGAGAAGGCTGTCGAAATCACGCACCATGCGGATAGCCCTGGCTTTGGTGAAAATTTCCCAGCGCTCAGCAACACCATCAGCACCAAGGCAGAAAATAAGAGGCGCGCCAAGAGCGAGCAAATGAAGACGAATCTGCCCGTACCAGATGAGAAGCCCAACGACGATGCTAAAACAGAGCCGAATGGCCAGGAAAACAAGGACCACCAGCCTCGAACAGAGAAGCAATGGACGCGCGAAAAGGTTCAAGGGCCCCTCGATTTCCCAAAGACAGGCTGCGGCATCCAATGCGACATCAACTTCGAAAACCCACTAGGGATACATAACTCACAGATGCTGCGCTGCTACTCTCTCACTGACCCACGAGTCCGACCTATTGTCCTATTCGTCAAGTCCTGGGCAAAGCGCCGAAAGGTCAATAGTTCCTACTCTGGCACTCTCTCCTCGTACGGCTGGGTGTTGATGGTGTTACATTACTTAGTCAACGTAGCCCAACCACCCGTATGTCCAAACCTCCAACACTCCATACCTCTGCCCACCGAAGTAGCGGCCCTCGAGACCTTTTTCAAAGAGACCACCATTGACAACTACAATGTCCGCTTTTGGCGCAATGAGCAGGAAATTATCAAAGCGGCACAAGCAGGTCGGCTCTCAAACAATAGGCAGAGTATCGGTGCGCTTCTTCGCGGCTTTTTCCAATACTACTCCTCCATGTCCCCAGGTTACGGTGCCCAGCGTACTCCGCAATTCTACTGGACCACCGAAGTCCTCTCCCTCCGCACGCCAGGCGGCCTCCAAACCAAACAGAGCAAAGGCTGGGTCAGTGCTACGACTAAAGTGACGGCGGAGAAAAAGGTCACCAATCGGTACTTGTTTGCTATCGAGGATCCGTTCGAGATTGACCATAATGTTGCGCGGACTGTCACGCATCGTGGCATCGTTGCCATTCGAGACGAGTTTCGCCGTGCGTGGAGGATCCTAAGGGCGATTGGGCAAGGGCAGGAGCCGGAGGGTGGCATCTTCGATGAGGTTGTCGAGGAGATCGCGACACCGCTGGCAGCACCGAAGACGGAGAAGGAAGCGGGCACTGAGACGACGGAGAGCGAGTAAGGCAAAGCCGGAGAACATGGTGGTAAGGCCTGTGGCGAAGTATGTGCAGTGAAGGCAGAGCGATGAGGTGCTATTAGTTAATGGATATCTCTTCGGTCCCCGCACCTGTATACGATCTCTATTCAAAGGTCCAAAAGCCCTGAAGCCAGGCTTCGTGTCTACTGCTCATGACAGCCGCAGTATAACAGCTATCTGGCACAGCGAGTAGCGTACGAGCACCAGACGGGATATGTAGTCAAAGCCCCCACCCTACGCTCCTATGATAAGATAACAAGAAGTCATTCTCACAACGTGTACTTCCAAGGATATGAGGTCGAACTATGCCGATACAGACGAGATGTGAGGAGGAATGAGGTGCTCTTGTGCCTTGTGAATGTGTTTGCTGATGATTATCCAAATGTTTTGCTATCCAATGTATGCCTTCAAACAACCAGCCCTTGAAAGCCTAGCCTCATTCACAGAATACATGGGTACTTCTTATCCACCCTAGAACCTACCTTGTAAATCCCACCCAAGACACAACTAAACCACAGTTGTTCAATTCGAAAAAGGCTAGACTCTTTTCGCAACGTTGCGAAATCAATCTAATGTAGCCCACTGGAATAGTCGCAGCCACTACGGTGAGCCAAGTCATCCTACATGAAATCTGCCTTGAGCTTGTTTCAGGTCCTGTTACCTATTACATGTGTGCTTACATGTGCTGTGGCTGTAACATGTGGTACAGTGATGTGGGCGCACCGCTAGCCTACCGTGGAGCCAAGGCAATACGGTGTCGGGACGCGGAATCAATAGGGTTTGTGTGGGCTTATCCTGGAGTTTGGAGTACGGAGTACGGGTGACGATGGCTGCACGGTAGATAAGCGAGCATATGCTTGTAGGGTACCGGTAAGCCCAGAGATACGGTGGTACTCTACTGCACTGTGGTAGGTTTGAAGGGGAGAGAAGGTATGGGAGGGGTGGGGGCGGAGCGTGGAGCTTTTGCCAGAGTGGGAAGATGGGAGATGGACGGTGGGATTGGGGCTGACGTTGGATGGAGTGTGGAGTGGTCGTATGCATTGTGTTACTTGCCATATGTAGGATGGCTTGGTGCTGTGTATGGTAGCAATGGTTGGGGTCTACTTTCTTCGTGCTGTAGAGTAGTGAGTTGCTATCAATGTCATAGTACCAGGGTGCAAGCATTGGCAAGCCTGGAAACTTCGAGACAAGACGCAAAGAGTACCCTATTGTGCTTCATTTCCCGCCCCCCTCGCGGGCATTCATGTCGGTCGGTCTTCTAGTTGCCGTAAGTCTACAGTAGTTCAGGATAAGAGGATCGGTGGTGGTGTGCTGAGCAGACGAATGACCCGAGCTGTTGACTCTGTCTCCACTTCCCGCCTGGAACAAGGATCGGGATTGATTGGCAAGGACTCGGTTCCTGTTCTAGCTCCCGCTATGCTGGTGCGCAAGTTTTGCAGGTTGGCAGCGCTGGGCGGCGGGCCTTGGATCGGGCTTCCTGTTTGGAGTCTGCTCTGCAGCAGTCCATTGTGCTCGGCCTTTAACTAGTCGATTTCATCTATCCATTTGGGCATTCATCGACGATGAAGTCATTCGGGACGCATCGAAGGCGGTGCGGTAGTAGTACGAAAGGCCGAATGCGATGGCGAGTCCATCGTCGCGCCCGAAATCTTATCCGTTATCTCTATGGATAG